GTAGGTTGGGCCTGGCCCATTGGTGACGTGGTGGTCTCCCATTGGTGGCCGCTGATGTGGCCACTGGGAGGGTGCCACGTGTAGTGACCGTTGGGTGGGGGGTTCTATAAATACCCCTCCCCCTCCGACGAGAAACCTCATTTGCAATCTGAGTTGTCGAAGTGCTGGCCAATTTTCTAGAGAGATAAACTCCCAAGCTCGTTCTTCGTGTTCTTCGTGTTCAAGGTTAGTGTTCATCGCAATCTTCTGTACTTTGCATACTTTGCTTCATAGGCTAGTGATCTAGTGTTAGGCGCTTGAACACCCTTAGATCCTAAGTTATTCCCCTTAGGCTCGTAGTAGTTGTTATGATGAAGAGCTTGAACGAAGACTACTATCCGTACGACGACCAGCCCTCCACTAGGTCACTCGACTATGAGGTGCTTGAGGAGTTCGAGGAGGAGATACAACACTTAAGTCCTTACAAGTCCGGAGAGCCGATGGACGACGAAGTTGAGGACGAGGAGTCCGCCTCGTCTTCAAAAGGTGAGGACGCAGGTGCGTCCCGAGTGGTGGACGGGGCGTCCACTTCCGCTGTTATTCCATGCCCGAGACCGGTGTCTGCCGTGAAGGGAGCAGATAAGCCGAAGAGAATAAGGAGGCCGAAGAGTGGGCCGGGCGTCTCCTACCTGGATCTCACAAACATCTTCCTGATCAAGCCGGAGAGCAGGGCGGCCGACTACTTGGTTGCCCAGATGTACGTGGGGCCGTTCGGGCGGGTTAGGGCACCCAGGCCGACGGACCATGTTCTTCATCCGCCACCGGGATACTTTGGAGTATACCTGATGAGTTTCGCCAAGGGGCTGAGGTTTCCCCTTCACCCCTTCATCACCGAATACCTCGACATGGTGGGGCTCCCTCCGGCCTTGCTGACGCCGAACAGCTACTCTTTGATGGTGGGGTTTTTGCTCCGCTGTGAGGAGCTGGGCTACAGGCCGATGACGGCTCTGTTCATGAATCTGTATCAGATAGGCCGAGGAAGCCACAAAAATTGTGCGGCCTATGCTACTCTCCAATAGCTACCGAAGAAGAGGAGCTTCACGGACTTGCCTTCGTCCATTCATGGGTGGAAGAGCAAGTTCGTTTTTGTATCCCTTGGTGAGAATGGCACCGAGTTTCCCTCTCTTGGCCATACCGGAAGGTTCAATCTGCATGACCCGCCGAGGAGTTCTATCCTGGATGCTCAGGTGGAGGCGTTCCTGGAAGGGGGGCCGAGGAGCGTGAAGGACTATATCACCGAATACAAGATGACCGCCCTCGGCTTCTTAAGATACCATGTATATGGCGACAAGGAGGACGATATCCAACTTTGGCCGAGGATGACGACTACTTTCGAAGAGGCCGACAACCCGGATTTGGGCATTCCTGCTGAGGCCGATGGTAATTATTTCTTCGGCTTTCTTCCTTTATAATTTGTTCTTTTGCCTTGCTAATCTGTTCGTTTTCCTTTGTGTAGATTTTGCCATGGATCGCCGTTCAATCATGGCTATTGCCAAGGCCAAGGCCAAGGCGGCCGAGGAGTTGGCTGCAAAGGCGGCCGAGGCGGCCAGACGTGCCACGGCCGAGGGGGGCGGGGCTACTGCTGGTGCGGCCCCGAAGCTTGCCCAATCCAAGAAGAAGAGGCCTCCCACTGACGGTCAGAAGAAATTGACTGAGGCCGGCCTGAACGTCACTAAGAAGACGAAGAGGGCACCGTCTCCTTCCCATGCTACAGAGGCCGGTACTCTGACCGTCCCAAGTGTGGACGATGGTGGTCCCGTTATGGACCTTACTGCTGCTCCAAGCGATGCTGCCCAATCGCTTCCTCTCGTCCAGGAGCCACGGACGAAGAGGGCCGGCAAGGAGATTGCCGCTGCCACCTACCAGAAGATGGTGGAATACCCCGTCGGCGGGGGTGTTTTTGATGATGTCGTCCTCGGCCACGATGTGCTGGCCCAGGCCATGCCGGCCAAAGATAGGGCCTACCTGAAGAGGCTCGGGGACGTCAAGGTGTACGAGGGCGGGATGGACCTCCTCGTCCAAGTAAGTTCCCTTCCTTTTGTTTGTCGTTTTTCTCGTCGTCTGGGTGGAATCATTTGCCCGAGTTTTGTTTGCCTTTTTTATGCAGGGTGCCTTCATGCTCATGGAGAGCCACAAGAGGCAGTACCGGGAGATAGCTCGTCTGAAAGAGCTTGAGCAGAAAGCTGCCTCGGCCGATGAGGCGGTCGCTTGCTTGGATCGGCTCCGGGAGGATGCCAAGGCCTTGCAACAGAGGGCCGACGAGGCCGCTGCAGCATGGGACGATGCCCTGGCCAAACTCGAGGAGAGCCAGAGGGCGCTTGAGGCCGAGCGGCGCAAAAACGATGAAGCTGTGAAGGCGAAAGCTGAGGCCGAGGCTGCCGCTGTGAAGGCTGCTGATGAGGCTGTTAAGCAGTTCTTGGCCGAGGGGTGGAAGGCCGATGAGCGACTCTCCTGGTGCTATGAAGTGGTGGCCGCCAGGCTTGAAAATTGGGGGATGAACTCCCCCACCGGCCAGTAGTATTTTAGCAGGGAGATGGCCGTGTACTATAACATGGGCCAAGAGCGAATGCAGAGGCTCCTGTGTCGGCGGCTATCTCGTGCTCTTAAGGCCATGAATATACCTCCGGGTGGGCTAGACGGAACTTGAAGCTTCCCAAGATGATGAAAGATCCCGAGGAGCAGGCCAAGCTTCCCCTATCGGAGCGGGAGTCCCCCATCGAGAGTTCCGGCCTCGGCGAGCCGGATTACACGGAGTTTGACTTCCTGGACGATGCCACCAGTTCTGCGGCTGCCCCTGGCCAGGAGACTGAGGCCGAGGAGGGAGCCGAAGACGTCGAAGAGCCAGCCGAGGATGGAGGCGCCCAAGAGGCTTGATCGGCTACTCCCCGCTCCCTTGTAATTAGTTTTTTTATTTTTGCCCAATTGATGTAATGGCCGAAGCGCCCACCATTGTACTGAATTGCTTATGAATGAAAATTTTGTTGTCCTGCTCGGCTTTGAATTTCTTGTGTGTTTATTGCCTTTTGCCATTTCAATTCTGAAATTTGTCTAAGTGTAAAAGTTACAACTTGGGTCACCCGCGAGTGTCTGCTACGTCCGTGAGGTAGTCCATCCTGTCCGGTGGCCTGGTCGGCCTGGCCGTCGTTTCTTTACTATCATAACACTTAGGATTTATTCAAAAATTTCCTAAGTGTTTTGGGTCCACTTAGTTGCTTTCTTTCCGGTCTGGTGGCTTGGTCGGCCTGTCCGGTGTTTCTTTGCTGTCGTAACACTTAGGATTTATTCAGAATTTTCCTAAGTGTTTTGGGTCCACTTAAGTGCTTTCCTTTCCGTCCCTGACCGTGGTGTCCGCTCCGTCCTGGCGTTGTCCCATTCTTCTTTTTTGTTAGGAATTTTCTAAGTGTCTAACTTCAAGTAGATGGGTGTTCTCATCGTCCTGGTATTGACTCTCTCCTCATTATTGACAAATGATTTGGGAGATTTCCCAAGTGTTGAACCAATGTCGTTGTTGGCCCAGTGTTTTTCATGGTCGTCGTGTTCCCTCGTTCCTGATCTGATCAGGAAGGTCGGCCTGGATCCTTGTGTTGTGGCCGATAAGGGTACTTTGAACTTAGTTTTTTGAACATAGAATTTTTTCTAAGTACACATGCAGGGCGTAGGTAGCTAACGGCCTTGGAGTACACAGGTACCTGCTTCGTCTAGAGTTCCTCCATTTAAGTACTTAGAGATTTTTCTAAGTATAAATGTAAGACATAGTTCCTTCTTTGCGGTACCGCTGCCGGCTAAGAGATGGCCCTACCATCATCGGCCAAGGTCTGGCTTTGTGGCCGATGAGGGTGCCCCTTGCTTTCCCCAAGAGAAGGCCCTACCTTCATCGGCTAAGGCATAGTTCCTTCTTGAGGAACCTTTTTCCTCAGAATTTTCTCTAAGTGTTTGGTAAACACTTGAACAAATCCCCAAAGATCTTTCGCCTGACCAACAGCCTGGGTTCCAGTGCCTGTATCGGCCATCCGGGATGCTGTGCCAAGTAGGGATTGTTTCTTGATTGCTTGATTCTTCCGCGGGTGTGATAAGTGCCCGCTTCGTCCTAGTCATCCTTCAGGATCGTAAGTGTTTTATTTCATACCAAGCGTTGGTGCTTCAAAGGGCTGTGGCCGATGATGGTTACCTCTCGCATGTCACCCAACCGATTCGGTTAGGGTTTTATAGGCGTATGCTTCGGCCTTGACCATTCCCTTGTGGTGTGTGGACGTATCGTCCATGTCACTTGTTAGTGGTACTACATTTGTGTTCAACTGATATGTACTTGGCCAAGTTGGGCCTGAATTGTGGGGATTTTATTTTTCCATTGCTCGAGGCCGGCAAGGGTGCGCGGTCCTCGGCTTCCCTCTTTTTTTTTGCGTTCCCTATTTCAGGGGAGTATCCTTCTTTCAGGCTTCGGCTGAAGGGTGTGCTCGTCCTTCGGTCGGTTCGGACTTTGTTTATAACGTTCGTGGTCTCAGGGCAGGTCCCGGCGCCTATTTATGACACGGGCTAGACTTTTGGTCGGTTTCCAACGGCTGTCGTTGCCCATCTCTGAGTTTTGGGATTTTGTCACCTCGGCCATGATTTCAGGCCTGTCGTCCTGCGATCTGGCGCGTGGATGACGCGGTGAGCTTCCCGTTTCAAGACGTGGGCCGTTTGCGGGCCCCTCGTCCTGGGGACATCGTCGGCCATACCTGAGCGTTTCACTTCTAGGCTTACGGGGCCAGGACGACGTGCTCTCTCAGCTAGGCCTGAGCCCTTCGCTGATACAAAATACAATGGGGTGCCTGAGCTTGTCGCTCGTAGGCTGCAAATGCAAGGTGCCACGTCGGCCATGCCTGAGCCTCTCGCTCTAAGGTGGCCGATGAGGGCACCTGCTAATGTTTTACTTTAAATTCCAAAGAAAAATCAAGAACATGATTTTATTCATAAGTGGCTCGAGGCCGAGGGTGGCGTTCAATCAGTAACCCGTTAAGGGGTGAGGGCTTCGCCGTCTGCACCTCCTTCGGATTACTGATCAAACTTCACCAGATGGTGTACATTCCACGTTCGTGGTACATTGGACCCATTCGGACGTTTGAGCTTGTAGGTGTCGGGTTTGACCACGGCACTGACGATGTAGGGCCCTTCGTACTTCAATGCTAGCTTGCCACCCTCTGTCGGCTGGCTTGCTTCCCTTCGACGGAGGACATAGTCCCCCACTTGAAATTCCCGGGAACGTACCTTGGCATCATAGTATGATTTTACTTGACGTCGGTAGTTCTCTTCTCGGACGTAAGCTTGCTCACGCCTCTCGTCGACCAAGTGTAGGTCGATCTTCATATTTTCTTCGTTGGCGTCAGGCTCGTACTGTTCCACCCGTCGGCTGGGGATGGCAACTTCCGTAGGTGCCTTTGCCTCAAAGCCGTAACACAGGGCGAAAGGCGTTTCACCTGTCGCCCTCCTCGGCGTGGTTCTGTAGCACCACAGGATGTTGGGGAGCTCGTCGACCCAACTACTTCCTGCGGCCTTGAGTTTCTTCTTCAGCCCCTCCATGATTGTCCTGTTGGCGTTCTCGACCTGCCCGTTGCCCTGAGGGTAGGCAACGGAGGAGAAACGATGCTTCACCCCAAACTCCCGGAGGAGCTCCTGAAAAGGGGCTGCCTCGAATTGGGTGCCGTTGTCTGATATAATCTCCTGGGGGACGCCGAAGCGTGTGATGATGTTTTTGTAGACAAATTTTTGGCATCTAGCCCCCGTGATGCTGGCCAGGGGTTCCGCCTCGACCCACTTGGTGAAGTAGTCGACGACGACGATGATGTAGCGGTTGTTCCCGGCGGCTCTGGGCAGGGGGCCGACCAGGTCAATCCCCCATCTAGAGAATGGAATTGCAGTGCTGACGGGGGCGTAGTTGACGGCTGGCCGACCAGGGGCCTTCTTGTAACACCCCGGCCCTCGTAGGTCCCGAGGTAGTTACTTCTGACCTTTAGTACTGTCCTCACAAACCGCCACTAGCCTTTTCCGCGCACTTTGTCCTCACTCGTGCGCGCCCTGAGAAACTTCCCAGGGGGTCACCCATCCCAAGACTACTCCCGTGCAAGCACGCTTAACTTTGGAGTTCTTGGCTAATGAACTCCCTTAAAAGGAGATGCACCTTGTTGGTATGAGTAGTACTATTAATCTATTTAAATTAAATCTCAAGTGTTACAATCACCCCCACTTAGGAACGCAACGTCCTCGTTGCGCCCATAAACCAATCTCAATCATATCCCAGAATCTTTTCCCTTGCTAAGTGCTCGCCCGATATCCAACGGATCAACACACTGTCGCAGGATTGCTCTGATACCATTTGTAACACCCCGGCCCCGTAGGTCCCGAGGTAGTTACTTCTGACCTTTAGTACTGTCCTCACAAACCGCCACTAGCCTTTTCCGCGCACTTTGTCCTCACTAGTGCGCGCCCTGAGAAACTTCCCAGGGGGTCACCCATCCCAAGACTACTCCCGTGCAAGCACGCTTAACTTTGGAGTTCTTGGCTAATGAACTCCCTTAAAAGGAGATGCACCTTGTTGGTATGAGTAGTACTATTAATCTATTTAAATTAAATCTCAAGTGTTACACTTCTGGAGTACCTGGCATGTGGTGCACTTCCTGGCCAGGTCAGCGCAGTCTCGTGCCATCGTCGGCCAGAAGAAGCCCTGGACGATGAGACGCTGGGACATGCTGAAAGGGCCCTGGTGCGAGGAGAAAAGACCACAATGAACTTCTTCCATGGTCACGTCGGCCTCATCCTGGTGGAGGCATCGAAGGAGAGTGCCGTTATAGGATCGCTTGTAGAGTTTGCCATCTTCAATGGTGTAGCTTGGGGCCCTGAGTTTGGCAAGTTTGGCCCTCTCCTCATCCGGGGGCAGCTCTCCCGTTGCGATGAAGGTGACGATGTCGGAGATCCAGTCCTCTGGTCGCTGTTGGACGCACAAGACGGGGCTGGCATGGATACTGGACATGCTCAACTCCTCGATCTTGGCGAGCTGGGAGATGTGCTCCGGGGTGTCCGAGCTGAGTTTGGAGAGGATGTCGGCCTCGGCGTTCTCGGCCCTTGGGATCTGTGTGATCTCGTGGGTTTCGAACGCCTTCAGCAGCTCCTCCGCTGCTTGTTTGTACTGCTTCATCTGGCCTTCCTTTGCTTCGTACGATCCCTCCACCTGGCCCACTACCAGTTTGGAGTCGCACTTGATTTTGAGGTTCTTGGCCTTGAGGCCGGCGGCGAGTCTGAGACCGCTGAGGAGGGCCTCATACTCGGCTTCATTGTTGGATACCCCTGAAGTTGAAGTGGATGGCATAGTAAGCTCTGAATCCTTCAGGGGATATGAGGACGACGCCGCCACCGCATGATTTCGCGGCCGACGAGCCGTCAGTGAATAGGATCCATGTATTGTCCGGCTCTGGCCCGGGGTTGGCGACGGCCGTCTCCCTTGCTGTGCATTCAGTGACGAAGTCAGCCAAGGCTTGTCCTTTGATAGATGGCCTTGGCTTGATCTCAATTTGAAATTGGCTGAGGAAGATTGCCCACTTCACCATCCTAGAGGAGCTGGTGGGGCTCCTCATGAGTGCACCGAGAGGCTGCTGGGTCAGTACATGGACGGCATGGGCCTCGAAGTAGTGTCCCAGCTTCTTCACCGTATGGACGATGGACAGCACCGTCTTCTCAACGGGGGAGTACCTGAGCTCGGCCTCCCTGAGTGTCTTGCTGATGTAGAAGATGGCCTTCTGCACCCCTTCATCCTCACGGATGAGCACGGAGCTGATGGCCGACGTGCTCACCCCTAAGTACAAGAAGAGGGTTTCGTCGGCTTTGGGCTTGGATAGCACGGGCGGGGACGATAGGTACCTCTTCAACTCGTCGAATGCTTCCTGGCACTCCGTCGTCCACTTGAAGCTATTTGCCTTACGCATGATCTGAAAGAAGGGGATGGCCTTGCTGACGAGGTTGCGGTTTGATTTAGTTCTTCCCATGATCAGTGGTTAGCTGTGCTTGGTAGGGACGAAGGGTGCTAACTTGATTGTTCTAGCTCTCAACGAGAGCACCAAATGATAGAGTATATCTAGAGAGAAGTGAGAGCTAGAGAGAGAAGTGCAATATATGCTTCAATAGAATGAATTTTGTAACCCCTATAACTACTCCCAAGGGGAGTATTTATAGAGAAAATACGGGCTGGGCTCCCAAGCCTTGGGCTTGGGAGGCCCATTTACAACTAGACCGCTACTGGGCCGAATACAAAGCCACTAATGGGCTGTACAAATGAGTAAGTGTAGAATCCGGTTCTGTGAGGTCTTCGTGGTCGACGAGGGCGTGGCCGACGAGGGCACGGCCGACGAGGGCGCGCTGACGAGGGCACCCGGGTTCCTTGGGCTCAGGACCATAATCTGGGTTGGCACCTTTTCGGCCGACGGGGGTCCCTTGGCCGACGAGGGCGCCACTCTGTGCCTTGTGCTTTCTGTTCTTCCGAGTATGTGGGTCCGGGGGCTCGGACCCATATACTCCATCAAAGGTTAATTGTTACACGACTTGGAAGCCACATCCTAGGGGCAAAAATTATGGGCAGAAAATATGCCGGGCATGAGGTTGTCATTCCGAGGTTAAGCTTAACTCCTTCAGATTCAAGAATACCGTTCAAGTTTCAAAGAAGACAATTTCCAGTAATGACCTCTTATGCGATGACTATAAATAAGAGTCAGGGACAATCTTTGTCTCATGTTGGTCTTTTATTGAAGAAGTCGGTCTTCACGCATGGTCAACTGTATGTTGCAGTGTCAAGAGTAACAAATCCTAAGGGATTGAAGATATTGATCTGCGGTGAAGATGACCAACCAACTGACCACACCACCAATGTAGTTTATAAGGAAGTTTTTCGCAATGTGTAGATTGTGAAACCCTACATAACGTATAGCTTTTTCTACTAATTTCAAAACATATTTGCTATCTATCTATGAATTCTCATTATCCGATCTTTAATAATAATTTATTATGCATGTTATGTGATGGTAATAATTAAAGAAGCGCTAATCGACATCAACAGAAAAGGGAACGAGCGATAGTATCGCTGAATGAAGAATAAGATACGAAGGTCGATGAAGAAGGCTGATGGCCTGATGGGTAAATGGTTTGGCTGTTGAGCAAAAGGTTACTTATATATGAAGGATTAGGTTTGGGTTGTTAGGTAGGTTTTACTTTAACATGTTGGACTAGGTTGAATTTAATTGAGTCATGTATAACAGGTTAAATTGACATGTACAAAGTCATAGTTGTCAAAGGTCTATAATTTTATTAAGTTAGTTAATAATATTGTTTGATTATATATTCAAATTATGATACCTATGATTTTAAAAATATATAAAATATATAAAATAGATTTAATTGGGTTGAATTTTATTGTTTCTATCTATATATAAAAAGAAGTGTAGTTTTAGTCAATTTTCCCGCCCAAAACACTAGATTAAATATGAGTTGGGTCAAGTAAAAGTTAAACTCTACATAGCTGCTATAAATGCACATTTAATGCTCAGTACTACACTGTTACATTTGGATTGCGTTGTGTTGTATATTACGTAGGTTTCGTGTTACACTTACAAAATCTGACCTACGAATTGATTCAACAATTGGATTTCTGCGATTTTAAAAATATATAAAATATATAAAATAGATTTAATTGGGTCGAATTTTATTGTTTCTATGTATATATAAAAAGAAGTGGATTTTTACCCAATTTTCTCGCCCAAAACACTAGATTAAATATGAGTGGGGTCGGGTAAATGGTAAATATCTACATAGCTGCTATAAATGCACATTTAATGCTCAGTACTACACTGTTACATATTGGATTGCTTTGTGATGTATATTATGTAGGTTGCGTGTTACACTTACAAATTATGACCTATGAATTGATTCAACAACTCGATTCTCGATTATTGTGTCTACGAGTTATGATTGCAATGTGTAGATTGTGAAACCCTATATAATGATTAGCTTTTTCTACTTATTCCAAAACATACTTGCTATCTATCTCTGAGTTTTCACTATCCGATCCTTAATAATAATAATTTATTATGCATGTTACGTATTTGACAATTTGCGTTCATTTCACACAACCAAATAACATTTAAAAATAATATCGTATCACTATTACATTTAAAAATAAATGTTAATTTTTAAAATAACATTTAAAAATCTAGTCTCAAAATAAAAGGGCGTTGCTATGCGCACCCATGGTATTACTTTTTGTAACCATGCTATGACTATATTGACCTTTTCAATTAAGGAGATTTCAATTAAAATTGTTTAGTTTAATAAACGTAGTTACGTAGGAGGTCAACAACTTAATACGGCAATACAACCATGTCAAACTTTAAAATTGACTTCTCATCCAATTTGTTGTCACGTGACAAACTTTTTCATTTGTGCTCCGATTTTTATAAAAACATATATATTAAATTAAACAATTTTTTATAATCTTTTCACATGACATTAACATTACATAAGTAAATTTTGGAAAAAACATTGATCATGTCTGTTTAATGATTTAGTAAACGGCTGCTAACTGTATAATTTTTTATTCTTTAAGTCTAGTCTCGTATGATCAAATTTGTTTAAATTTACATGGATCAAAATCATTCCAATTAAAAACATCCTAAACATACATCCTAATTCCTAAATCATATTTAGATAAATAAAAATTTATTAATCCAACATTCAAAACTATATAAAGGAGACATCAATTTATAACAAGACATAACTGAACTTTGAAATATACACTTTAATTTTACATAAATTATTTATTAGGCGACAATGAGACATTAATTTACACTTATAGTTCCAATAAGGGTGTTTTTTATTGGATTGCAATTTTGTGATTAGATGTGATCTGGTATGACCTAATGTGATCAGGTCTATTTAAGTATGATCTGGTCTAGTTTGGTCTAATACTAGTCTGATCTTGTTGATGTCTGTTTTTATGTGTATTACACAACTATTGAAGTTTGATCGATTGATCTGATCTGTTTAGGGATGTTTTTAATTAGACTAAAATTTTATGGTCTGGTCTGGTCTATTAAAAAAATTCGACTTGGAAGCAGATTAATCTGATATGATTCT